AGTAGTAGTAGTAGTAGTTAGTTAGTAGCAGTAGTAGTAGTAGTAGTAATAGTAGGTATTAGTAATAGTAGGTAGTAGGTATAGGTCGTAGAAGTAGTGGTAGACGTAGTCGCAGTTGTAGTAGTAGTAGTAGTCGTCGTCGTCGTCGTCGTTCGTCGTCGTAGTAGTAGTAGTAGTAGTAGTAGTAGTAGTAGTAGTAGTAGTAGTAGTAGTAGTAGTAGTAGTAGTAGTAGTAGTTAGTAGTAGTAGTAGTAGTAGTAGTAGTAGTAGTAGTAGTAGTAGTAGTAGTAGTAGTAGTAGTAGTAGTAGTAGTAGTAGTAGTAGTAGTAGTGTAGTCGTAATAGTAGTAGTAGTAGTAGTAGTCGTAGCAGTAGTAGTAGTAGTAGTAGTAGTAGTGTAGTAGTAGTAGTAGTAGCAGTAGTAATAGTGGTAGTCGTATTCCCAGTAGCTGTATTAGTCGTGGTGGGGGTAGTAGTAGTAGTAGTAGTAGTAGTAGTAGTAGTAGTAGTAGTAGTAGTAGTAGTAGTAGTAGCAGTAGCAGTGGCAGTAGTAGTAGTAGTAGTAGTAGTAGTAGTAGTAGTAGCAGTAGTAGTAGTAGTAAGAATAGTGGTCGTAGTAGTAGTTGTTGTAGGTGTAGTTGTTGTTGATGGAGTAGCAGCAGCAGCAGCAGCAGCAGCAGCAGCAGCAGCAGCAGCAGCAGCAGCAGTAGTAGTAGTAGTAGTAGTAGTAGTAGTAGTAGTAAAAGTCGTAGTAGTAGTGGTAGTAGTAGTAGTAGTAGTAGTAGTAGTAGTAGTAGTAGTAGTAGTAGTAGTTGTTGTTGTTGTAATAATGGTAGCTAGCTGGTGTTGTTCGGGAGGGGGGAGGGAGGGAGGAGGAGGGGGGGATGGATTCCGAACAAAACATTGCACACCTAGCGCATTCTTCTTTGCAGAACCTGCTAACCCACAGGAGGTTTTCAAGTCGTCGTGTGGAGCGTTGCCAGGCGATAGCCAATCCCATGCTATTGCTTATCAAATCGTCCGCGTGGGGGGGGGGGGGGAGGAAAGGTAGCAGTCGTAGTCGTCGTAGTTGGTGGTCCTGAGAATAATGATAATGTAGTTGTGCTGGTTGTGTTCGAAGTAGTGCTTGTTCTAGTACTTTTAGTATTGCTAGTATTCGTTCTGGTCTTAGTAGTAGCCGTAACAGCAGCAGTAGTAGTAGTAGTAGTAGTAGTAGTAGTAGCCGTAGTAGTAGCAGTAGTATATGTTGTCGTAGTAACAGTACTTGTTGTAGTAGCAGTAGCAGTGGTCGTCGCAGCCGCAGCAGGAGTACTAGTAGTAGCAGTAGTAGCAGTAGTAGTAGTAGTAGTAGTAGTAGTAGTAGTAGTAGTAGTAGTAGTCGTCGCCGTAGTCGTAGTTGTAGTCGCAGTCGTCGCCGTAGTCGTAGTAATAGTAGGCAGTCGGTGGTAGGTAGTAGGAAGTAGTATTAGTAGCAGTCGTAGTCGTAGGAGTAGTAGTGGTAGCAGCAGCAGTAGTAGCAGTAGGAGTAGCAGTAGTAGCAGTAGTCCTAGTAGTAATAGCAGTAGTAGTCGTAGTCGCATTCGCGGTAGAAGTTTTAGTAATGGTAGTATTAGTAGAAGGAGTAGTAGTAGTAGTCGTAGCAGTAGTAGTCGCAGTCGTTGTAGTAGTAGTCGTCGTACTGGTAGTAGTAGCAGCAGTAGTAGTAGTAGTAGTAGTAGTAGCAGCAGTAGTAGTAGTAGTCGTCGTAGTAGTAGCAGTAGTAGTAGTAGAAGTAGTAGTAGTGGTAGTGGTCGTAGTAGTTGGAGTAGTTGTTGTTGTAGTAGTTGCAGCAGTAATAGTGTTATTCGTAGTTTTAGTAATCGTGTGATGGTAGGTAGCCGTGGTTGTCGTAGGGGGAGGTGGGCGGGAGGAGGCGGGGGGGGGGAGGGATTTCGAAACAAGCATTGCAATCCTATCGCGTTCCTTTTGCAGAACCTGCTGACCAACAGGGTGTTTTCAAGTCCTCGTGTGAGGCGTCGCCAGGCGACAGTAAAACCCATGCAATTGCCCATTAAGTCGTCTGCGTGGGGGGGGAGGAAAGGTAGTAGCCGTAGTCGTAGTAGTTAGTGTAAGTCAGTAGTAGTAGTAGTAGTAGTAGTAGTAGTAGTGGTAGTAGTAGTAGTAGTAGTCGTCGCGTCGTCGTCGTCGTCGGTCGTCGTCGTCGTCGTCGTCGTCGTCGTCGTCGTCGTCGTCGTCGTCGTCGTCGTCGTCGTCGTCGTCGTCGTCGTCGTCGTCGTCGTCGTCGTCGTCGTCGTCGTCGTCGTCGTCGTCGTCGTCGTCGTCGTCGTCGTCGTCGTCGTCGTCGTTCGTCGTCGTCGTCGTCGTCGTCGTCGTCGTCGTCGTCGTCGTCGTCGTCGTCGTCGTCGTCGTCGTCGTCGTCGTCGTCGTCGTCGTCGTCGTCGTTGTCGTCGTCGTCGTCGTCGTCGTCGTCGTCGTCGTCGTCGCCGTCGTAGTAGTAGTAGTAGTAGTAGTAGTAGTAGGAGTAGTAGTATTAGTAGTAGTCGCAGTAGCAATGCTAGTACCAGTAGTAGTAGCAGTAGTAGTAGTAGTAGTAGTAGTAGTAGTGGTAGTAGTAGTAGTAGTAGTAGTAGTACTAGTCGTAGTAGTAGTAGTCGTAGAAGGAGTAGGAGTATGAGTAGGAGTAGGAGTGGGAGTAGGAGAAGGAGTAGGAGTAGTAGTAGTAGTAGTGTGGTAGTAGTAGTAGTAGTAGTAGTAGTAGTAGTAGTAGTAGCAGTAGTAGTAGTAGTAGTAGTGGCAGTAGTAGATGCTGTCGTAGTAGCAACAGTTGATGTAGTAGCAGTAGCAGTGGTAGTCGCAGTCGCAGTAGCAGTAGTAGTAGTAGTAGTAGTAGTAGTAGTAGTAGTAGTAGTAGTGGTAGTAGTAGTAGTAGTCGTCGTCGTAGTAGTAGTATCAGTAGTATACTAGTAGGAGTAGTAGTAGTAGTAGTAGTAGTAGTAGTAGTAGTAGTAGTAGTAGTAGTAGTAGTAGTGGTAGTAGTAGTAGTAGTCGTACTAGTACTAGTAGTGGTGGTAGTAGTAGTAGTAGTTGTAGTAGCTGTCGTGGTCTTAGTAGTAGTAATAGTAGTAGTAGTAGTAGTAGTAGTAGTAGTAGTAGTAGTAGTAGGAGTAGTAGTAGTTGTAGTAGTAGTAGTAGTACCAGTAGTAGTACTAGCAGCTGTAGTCTTAGTCGTAGTCGTATTCGTAGTCGTTGTAGTCGTAGGAGTCGTATCCGTAGTCGCTTTCGTAGTAGTAGTAATAGTTAGTAGTAGTAGTAGTAGTAGTAGTAGTAGTAGTAGTAGTAGTAGTAGCAGTAGTAGTAGTAGTAGTAGTAGTAGTAGCAGTAGTAGTAGTAGTAGTAGTAGTAGTAGGACTAGTAGTACTAGTAGTACTGCTACTACTAGTAGTAGTAGTAGTAGTAGTAGTAGTAGTAGTAGTATGAGTCGCATTTGTAGTCGTAATCGTAGTCGTGGCAGTAGTTCTTGCTGGCGAGGATTATGATGCTACTTATGATGCTGATTATGATCTTGCTAATGGGGGTGACGATGAGGCTGTAAGAAGCTCCATTTTTTCGATTCGTACTTTCCTTGGTGATGATGAAGTTCGGCCCCGCCGCCCCCCGCCGCCAACCACAACTGCACTGGCTGGAGATCGGCAGCACTCGAATCTTAAGGGGGGGATGTGGGGGGCCTGCGGTTAATTCGCCAATCAGGGCAGGTCTTAACGCTGCCGTCCGCCGTGGAGGAGACGAGGTACAAAACCAGACACGCACACGTCATGCTCCAAGGTTTTTTTTTTGTGATGCTGGGCAAACTTCAGGAGCACTGCCTGTAGCGCTCTTGCGAGAACAACGAGGCGCGAGCCGAGCACCGAGGTCAAGAGCGGACGTAACGCCACGCAGGGCAAAGAGTAACCGACCGTGCGATCGAGCGGGGGAGGATGACCAACGAATCGCATGATCATAACAAAGCATCTAATCGTCACAAGGGGCTCCTCCTCCTCCTCCTCCCCCCCTCGTCCTCCTCCCCCTCGCCCCCCTCCCTCCCGCTTAGTCCTTTTGCTCCCCCCTCCCTCCTCGTCCCTCCTGCTCCTCTCTCCTTGTCCCTCCTCCTCGTCCCTCCTCGTCGTGCTGGTCGGGCCTTGCTTCTGGCCGCAGCGTGGCGCGGCTACAATCCGGCCCTACAGGAGCATCCTGTCCCCCTCTTCTTGCTCCTCTTGCCCCCCCAGATTTGTTCGACCCACGACAAAAAATAAGGACGACAGGTGTTTCATTGTTTACGCTTACGCCTACTTCTTCACCTCGGGGAGAGTAAAACACAGTCCCAGATATGTCCGCCTCGTAACAACAACCAGGACGACTGTTTGTTTCGTCGTTTTCGGCCTCAGGGGCCCTGGCCGGGCCCTGGAGGCCGTCAACAAAACGCATCCTGGTTGGGATTTCTAAAGGTCCGCGTACAGTCGGACCGAGGGAACAGATCGAGGTTGATTCGGGGAGGGTGCCCAGGGACGGGTTTTCTTGGACGTTCTATCCGTTCAGGCCTGCGGAAGTCTCGTGTTCTTGAGGGAGGTTCAGTTGTCCGAGGTTAGACTGTATTGAAACGAATTCGGATTTCGCATGATGTCTGGGTCCGCCTTCCCGCTGGGGCCCGCGGCGCATTCTGCACCCCCTCGTGCTCCTGCCCCCCCGGTTGGCGGCGCCGGCCTGGTCCTCCATCGCTCGGACGCCGCACCGCCTGGGTCGTGCTGTGGAGTTTGCAGCGGAGCTGGCGCATTTGCTGAGCCCTGGCGAGGGTGTCGCTTTAGTTGTAAGTCGGTCCAGCCTGTCCCTCTACAGGGGGAATATTCCAAAATAGTAAAGCAATAGTCTGGGGACTGATTTTTGTTGACTAGAGCTTCACCTCTTTCCTGAGAGGAGGGACGGTGCTAGTTTCGTCGGACCACTTGCGCCCAAAGGAAGGGCTTCAAGATGGCTTCGGAGAGGCCGGCGGGCGTCTACAGAGGCCCCCAGAGGGTCCCAAGATAGCCCCGCTCTGCTCTTCCAGGGTCTCATGTGGGAGGGGTCCGGGCTCGCGGCGGGTGGACCCCGAGCCGTCCGAATGCTCCATGGCACATGTCAAATGTCCCCGAGAGCTCCTCGGGACCGCCCAGGTGTCTGCCCAAGTGACCGACGGGGGCCTCAGGGGCTCAAGCGTCATCCCCAGAGGCGCCGAAGTTAGCCCAGGAAGCCCCCCAGATGACGAACATGAGCAAAACACATGAGCATTGGTAATCTTTCCGTTCGATGAGTAGTCGAACATTTCAGTCGAATACGGCCCCAAGATGAGTGCGGAGAAGTCGGTGAGCGTCCAGAGAGGCCCTCAGAGGGGACTGTACAGGGCAGCAAGAGGAGATGCGAGTGCCCAGAGGGGGCCCCAGTGGGCGTTTTGGCCTCGGCCCGAGGAAGCCCTTGGATGGCCCGACAGTGCCCCGACAGTGCCCCGAGTGACGACGACGACGACGACCGACGACGACGACCACGACTACGACGACCGACGACGACGACGACAACGAGCCGGGTCCCTCCAACTCTCAGGGGCGTCTTGGGACCGCGGCGCCGCCGCGGCGCCACCGCGGCACCCCTCGGCGCCCGGGCCCCCTCCGACTGCCCACGACAGCCCAAGAAGGCCCAAGCGGTTTCCAAGACGCCCTCCAGAAAGCCACCTCAGAATCTTGAGAGGATCCCCAGCTGGCGAGGTGTCAATCTAAGCTAGTGCTGCTTTGCGTTTCGGTACCTATGTCGATGCGCTCTTCGGGCGGAGGATGGCTCCACGCAGTGCCTCAATCCTCGCAGCCCCATCCGTCCCTCCTTCCGTTCTCCCTCCTGGCTCCGGGGGAACACGGCTGTAGTGGGCAAAGCAAGTACATCGGCACGCCCTTCGTGTTTGTGGATATGGAGGGGTTCACGAACTTCGAGATGCAGCACGCTTTCCCGAGCGTGCTGCAATCGCCGCCAGGGCTCAAATCGTTGCCTCGCCTTGCCTCCATCGCTCATCTTCGCTCCTCCATTCCGCCTTGTGTCCGCAGCCATCTGGGCTCTAAGGGCGCTTGGCAGCGGCATCGGGGTGTGCACACACGCCGCTCTCGGACAATGCACTCCTGTGGCAGGGCCGTTACGATGGTCTGTGGGGCAGGCCTCGCCAAACCCAAGAAGGAGCAGGGCGTCGTGTTTACGAAGGCGGCCTCCGACGAGGCCAGCATGCCTCGCGCTTCGGCCCTGCGGGGGCGCAGGGCAGCGTTTCCCAATGTGACCTTGGCGGGCGTGCCGTCGGTAGCTCGACAGCGTGGACGGGAGGTGCAGTTGGCAAGTCCTGCCGTTCAACTGGCCGATGGAGTCGGGGCCCATGCGCCAGATCATCTCAGGTGTGAGCGCGTGACCAAGAACTTTGCCAACTTTGATCGGATTGGCAGCGGCTCTTCCAGTGTGGTCTACCGTGCGCGACGACTCCACGACAACAGGAGGGTCGTCATCAAGGCCATGCGCCGCTCGGATGCGGGCGAGACGTCCCTGGCGAAGCGGGAGTTCGATCTCCTCAGCGGGCTGAAGCATCCCAACATTATCGTCGCCCTGGACGTCGTGGAGTCGCCGTCGTGTGTGGCGCTGATGCTGGAGGACATCGCCGGCCGCAGTCTGCGCTCGGTGGTGCGCTCCGCTTGCGCGGGCCGCCTGGACGAGCCGAGCACCATGCGCCTGTTCGTCCAGTCGGCCGCCGCTCTGGACTATTCGACAGGCCTGCGTCATCCCGCCGGCCCAGGGAGAGAATGAAGGAGCAGGGGGGAGAGGATGAAGTGGACGGCGACGGCGGCGGTTGGAGCAAGAAGAAGGAGAACGAGCACGACAAGGACTCCAGACCCCCGACGTGATGATTTGTTCATTGCGTCGACCCCCAGAGGTCCCGACCCTTTCCCCAGGACCGGCTTTGCATCCCGAGTTGTTTTTTGACGCTCCCGAGGCCCGGCGAGGACCCTCGGAAGCCGAAAAATCAGAAAACCTCCCGTCATGATTGTTTCCATTACTCGAGGGGGTCTGGGGTTGGAGTAAGAGGAAGAAGAACGAGGACGACAAGGACGACGGGAAGGTGTTTGATTTTTCGGGGCCTTGTCGAGGTCCCCCTCGTGGAGCCTCTTTGGGTCAAGCGAGGTCGTCGGGGGTCGCCGCTGGGGCCTCCTTTATATTGGGTTCCAACTTGGTCGGGGCGGGTTCCTGCGGGAATGGCTGCGGGAGGGAGCCGGCTCACGACGTTTACAAGTATACAGTACGTGCTCATGGCGCCCTCTCGAAGGCGGTTTTGGGGTGTCTTGTGGGCCTCTCGGGGGGCCTTCTGTTGGGGCCTCATTCGGGCCTCAAGGGGGCCCTCCTGGGTCTTAGGGGGGGGCCTCTAGGGGTCCCGGTGGTGGTCTCGGGGGACATCTGGGGCAGAGGAGGGTTCGAGGTGCCCGTTCGTGTTCCCCGTCTTTGGGGTTCTCCTGAGGCCCTCCTCGGGCCGTCTTTGGCTGTCTTGTGGGGGCTCTTGGGTCCTTTTGGGACCCTCTTGAGCCGTCCTGGGGCCCCTCGTGAGGTCTTGTTGGGCTGTCTTGGGTCTGTCTTTGGGGCCCTCGGGGTCGTCTTGGAGCGTCGGAAGCCCGAAAAGACGGTAGCGCTCAAATTCTTCAAAATTTGGAAAATGTATTTTCTTTCGCGGGAGGCATCTTGGAGCGCTCTTGGGGCGTCTTGGGGGCCGCTTGGGCAGTCTCGAGGACATCTTGGGCGTCTTGGAGCGCTCTTGGGCCGTTTCGGAGCCCCTTTGGCCCGTCATGGCCCTGAGATCCTGGTGTTTCAATTTTTTCGAGCCGGGGGGTTTCACCCAGATTCGGGCCCCGAGACCCTCACATATCGATCCGGCTCAGAAAATGGCGCAGAGAGATGGGGGTCGGGACCCTGGAGATTGTTGTGTCTCATCCTCTGGCGCGTAACTGCCGTCACTGGCGCCAATCCGTCTCCCCTCCCCGGTTACAGCAACGATCGTGCGCAGGGAGGGGAGGCCTGTTTGGACCCCACCGCCCCCACATGCTGGTGCTCGCGCTCAGGACATGGCGATCGCGGCGCACCCGCGCCCCAACGTGGCCCACCCCGCCCAAGCGTTCTCGTTACCCCCGGGGTCCCGTCCCATCCCCCGCGGCTACCGGCCCTCACCAGGGATAACAATCTGTCGCCTGGGGGAGGCGGAATGGAGGGGGGTGACAGCCAAACAATATCCCACACGCCTGGTCACCCCCGGCAAGCGTCACCCCTGGCAAGCGGGGGGGGAGCGGACCTGCATGGCAGGAACATCGTTCACCGCGACCTGAAGCCCGCGAATTGCCTCGTCTCGAAGGAGGGCGTCCTGAAGCTGATCGACTTCAACGTCGCCGCCAGCACCGAGGGGGGCGACCTCCTGACCCCCACCGGCACGAGGGAGTTCCGTGCCCCGGAGCTCCTGAGCAGGCCCTACACGCCGTCAGCGGACGTCTGGTCCCTCGGGCTGTGCCTGCACTTCATGCTGCACGGCCGCACACCCTCCCGCGGCGCCGACGACCGGCCGACGGCCATCTCCGTGATGACGGCCTCCTCCGCGACGGCCTCGGACGGCGACGCCTCCGATGGCAGCTCCTATGGCGGCGCCTCGCCGAAGTGCTCCCACCAGGCGCGCGCGATGACGGAGCAGCCCCGCGACGAGTGGGGCGGCAGCGTGTGGGCTCTGCGGCGGTGCTGCCACCGGGACTCGCAGACAAAAACGGGCGGCGCAGAATTAGCAGGGAACTATATATACACTGACACGCAAGCAAGCTTCGGCTCCCAGGGAAATGCAGGACAGTACGACAGGTGAAGAGGAAGAAGGGCACCCCGAAAATGGGAACAGATATATGGGGAAGCCTGGAAGCTGTGTCTATTCATTCGTGTGCCCCTGAGCCCCTGTCATCTCAGGCGTTCCAAAGCGGGCTGTGCCTTCGAGGGATCGAAGCTGTCGTCTTCTCCGCCGCGGAAGGCGGCGGAAGGGCGGTGGAAGTACAGCGAGGCCGCCTCCGCCGGCGGAAGGCCGGCGGGTGGCGGCGGACGTCAAAGATACGCCCCCAGGAGATTTGCCTTGAGATCCGACGTCCCAGACGTCCAACTTCGATCCTTTGTCTTGGTGCTCGACATGTTTTGGCGATCGAGGCTGAAGTAGGTTGGAACATCATAACCCAGACCCCCTCGAGTTAATGAAGCAACCATGACGGGAGGTTTCTCTTCATTTTCGGCCTCCGGGGGCCCTCCCCGGGCCTCGGGAGCGTCAGAAAGCGACTCGGGATGCAAGGCCGGTCGTGGGGAAAGGGTCGGGGCGTGTGGGGGATCGACGTAGAATGAGAAAAAATCGTTGCGTCGGGGATCTGGGACAGCAGCCCCACGCCTCATCTTCCTGCGTCGTTATTCCATGGGAGGAGGAGGAGGAGGAGGAGGAGGAGGAGGAGGAGGAGGAGGAGGAGGAGGAGAGGAGGGAGGAGGAGGAGGGAGGAGGAGGAGGAGGAGGGGGAGGAGGAGGGAGGAGGAGGAGGAGGAGGAGGAGGAGGAGGAGGAGGAGGAGGAGGAGGAGGAAAACGAGGGCGGTTTTTGGTGCAGGGTGTCCGGGATCCGCCATGGAGGCGCCACCCGCCGGAGGTCTGCGCGGCTCTCTCGGCCCTGCGTCGGAGGGCCCCCCCCCATGCGGCGGCGCTCTCCCGCGCCGCCCCGAGGAGCGGCGCTCCGCGCGCGCGGGGGGAGGGGGGTGGTCAGGGGGACAGGGGATCGGGACCTTTGGGGGCCGACGCCATGAAGAAAATCATGACGTCGACCCCCAGAGATCTCGACCCATTCCCCGGGACCGGTTTTTCATCCTGAATCGTTTTTGACGCTCTCGAGGCCCGGTGAGGGCCCCCAGAGGCCGAAAATTAAGGAAAAGCCGCCCGTCATGATTTTTTCATTACTCGAGGGGGTCTGGGTTTGGGGGCCGACGCCATGAAAAAATCATGACGTCGGGGGTCTGGGAAAACCCAGACATCCAGCCGCCCACACTTCCTCGAGGCGTGGGCCCCAAGGAGGCCTTGGACCACTGGCCCATGGGGCCGGCTTGCCGTCCTGAGCCGTTTTGAGTTGACGGCCCGGAGGCCCGGCGAGGGCCCCACGGCCAGGGGGCCCCGTGGCGCCGATCCGAGGCATCCGCGCAGAGCTCCGCTCCGAGAGATGCGGCGCTCCAGAAAAGATTCGAGCGGCGGGTTTGGGGCCGTTTTCGGCCCCAGGACCGTGGGGCCATCGTTGCGGGCAATAGTTATATCCGCGTCCAGTGCGTCTTGGATTCTTGGGCTCTCTTCCCCAGAAGCCGTAGACGCCCTGGATATGGATAAAAATCTGGCCCCAAGAGGCTTGATTTTATCCATATCCAGTGCGCCTCGGCGTTGCGGCACCTCTTCCCAAAAAGTCCACGACGCTCTGGATATGGATATAAGTACTGCCCGCACTCGCCGGGCCCTCGCCGGGCCTCTGGACCGTCGACAAAACGATACTCAGGACGGCAAGCCGGCCCCATGGGCCAGTGGTCCAGGCCTCCTGGGGGCCCACGCCTCGAAGAAGTGCGAGCGGCTGGATGTCTGGGTTCCCAGACCCCCTCGGGTAATTATTGAAAAAATCACGACGGGAGGTTTTTCCTAATTTTCGGTCTCCGGTGGGGCCTCACCGGGCCTCGGGAGCGTCAAAAACGAATCAGGATGAAAAACTGGTCCCGGGGAATGGGTCAAGATCTCTGGGGGTCGACGTCATGAAAAAATCATGACGTCGGGGGTCTGGGAAGTGTCCTCCGAGCCTCCGCAGGAGGCCTCCCAGAGGCCCCCAAAGGTCCCGACCCTTTTCCCATGACCGGCCTTGCATCCCGAGGCGTTTTCTGACGCTCCCGAGGCCCGGGGAGGGCCCCCGGAGGCCGAAAATGAAGAAAAACCTCCCGTCATGGTTGTTTCATTACTCGAGGGGGTCTGGGTTATGATGTTCCAACCTACTTCAGCCTCGATCGCCAAAACGTGTCGAGCACCAAGACAAAGGATCGAAGTTGGACGGTCTTTGCGCGTCCAGCCCCGGGCGGCGATCCTCTCTCGACACTTCGGCAGCGTGCCGGGCAGACCCTGTTTCGATGTTCCCCGGGGGGCTCGAGGATTATTTCTGTGGTGTGGTCCTGAACCCAGACCCCCTCGGGTAATGAAAAAATCATGACGGGAGTTTTTTCCTAGTTTTTCGGCCTTTCGAGGCCCTAACCGGCCCTCGGGACCGTCAAAACACGACTCAGGATGAAAAACCGGTTCCGGGGAATGGGTCGAGATCTCTGGGGGTCGACGTCATGAAAAAATCATGACGTCGGGGGTCTGGGAAGTACAAGCTTACACCAGAGAAAAACCCCAATCAGTGGATGGTTTGGAACGGGATCGGTCAAGAGATCGAGAAGGAGATCGAAGGGGAACCCGGAAACCATGGAGCCCGGAACCCACCGAAATCGGCCCGGAACCAATAACCAGGAACCCGGGAAACCCGGGAACCCGGGAACCCAGCTGGCCACCAAAATAGGCGCGACTTTTTCGCCAAATCTTTCAATATCCGCTAGGACCCCTTCAGTGCAAGCGCTGATCCCAGACCCCCGAAGTCATGATTTTTTTCATTACGTCGACCCCCAGAGTTCTCGACCCATTCTGCGGGACCGGTTTCTCATCACCAGTCGTTTTTTGACAGTCCCGAGGCCCAGCGAGGGCCCCCAGAGGCCGAAAAGTAAGAAAAGCCTTCCGTCATGATTTTTTGGGGGGCTGGGATGGGGGAAGAATCGCAGGCCTAAGAGGTTGACACCAACACCAATATCGGCGGTGCTCCTCCACCGAGGGAAGGAGATCCCGATCTCGGCGATGGTGGTAATATTCTGGCTTCCAAGGTGGCCGAAATACGACCACCAACACCGACATCTAGGATCATTTCCCCCCCTGTGGAGGCAGCCCCCTGTCTTGGTGTTGGTGCCCATTTCCAGGCCTCCAAACCCAGACCCCCGACGTAATGATTTGTTTCATTACGTCGACACCCAGCGGCCCCGACCCTTTCCCCATGACCGGCTTTGCATCCTGAGTCGTTTTCTGACGCTCCCGAGACCCGGTGAGGGCCCCCAGAGGCGGAAAATTTAGACAAACCTCCCGTCTGGATTTTTTCATTACCCAGGGGGTCTGGGAATGGGGAATTGCACCGGCGTCATCCCAACATACTTATACTATATGTGCATCGCCCCCCCGGGGGCGATGCGCGCACGTACCGAGAAATCTTCTGGTATATGCGTCGTGGCGGGCGCTTTCTGGCCATACCGCTCGGGAAACGATATACTACTAGATGGGTATACTATATGTTGGATCAGACGCGCGCCTCCAATCGGGTCGGGCGAAAGGGGGGATAGCAAAGGGGGGGGGTGAGAATCAGCTCACGTAGCTGATTTTCCCGGCGCCTCCCGGCGCCGGAGGCGGCTATGCATCGAGCAATGGGCCCCTCGGTAGGGCCGAAACCAGCTGCATGCAGCAGATTTCGTGACCCCCCCTTTCCCAACCCCTCCCCTTTCGTCCGGCCCGACCCAAGGAGAGCATACAGCACGAGTACGTCTGCGTGCGTCCCATGAAAGCTTTGTGCATCGCGATTCCAAACAGAACATAGGGCCATAGGGTGCCGCTTTTGATACATGCTCCGCGTGCGGATCCGCGTTCAGATCATGTGTTCATTAATTTATTCATTATTAAAAATCCTCTACTTGTAAAATCCGATGTATCAAAAACTGCCCTGTACAGTACCAGTGCGTCTCTGTGCGTCCCACTAAAAAGCTCTGTACCTCGCGCGATTCCCTCCCCTCTGAGGACTGGCGGCAGCGGGCCACCGCCAAGGAGCTCTTCGCTGGCGCCTCCCGCTGGCTCGCCCGCCGCTGAGCCTGGCGCGCGGGGCGAGCGCGCGGGGCGAGCGCGCGGAGCGCGCGCGTGGCGTTGCGTCGGGCGCGTTCCGCCACAGGAGGGATTTCAAAAACTTGGCATCGCTCGGACGTGTGCATTTTTTCTCGGCGAGAACCATCGAGGACCATCCTGGACCATCGAGCACAAAAACACGCACGAAACCGAAACATGCACGGGAAATGGACGTCCGAGCGACGGCGAGAGGAGGGATATTCAACAAAAATAGTTTCAAAAGAATAGAAAGAGAAACAAGCATCGTTAAACAAACAGGAGTAGTCAACAACGTACAAAAATAGTCTGGGGACAAGTTGTTGGACTATGTTTCCATATTTTTCTGGTTTCATGCAAAAATTATGACGGAAGGTGTTTTACATGTTTCTGCCTCTGGGGCCGTAACTGGCCCTCGGGACCGTCAGAAAACGGCTCAGGATGCAAAACCGGTCCCAGGGAATGGGTCGAGATCTCCTGGGGTCGACGTCTTGAACAAATCATGACGCCAGGGGTCTGTGTCTCCAGGTGGAAGATTCAAGAATAGTAAGAACATAGTCTGGGGACGATATGTTTGTCTATGTGTCAATCTGTTTGACCATGTTTGGGGGTATGTGTTTTGTTTTTCGTCCCAGATCCGCCTGTAGGGGGACACGCCCGACCTGAGCGTGGTGCCCGCGCGCCCGGGTCTGCGTGTCGGTGTCCGGCTCGCAGGAAGTTGCCTGCCGCCGCGGCGGTGCTGCGCGGGGCAGCTCGGCCAGTGGTGCCCACGCTCTGAGCGGCTGGAGGTCCACGTGCCGCCAGGACGCCCTGCGGGGCATCCGCGCGCAGGCGCGCCGGCTTCAGGGTGCCACTGCGACATTTGCCCGCCCCCTTTGCGGCAATTGCGCACGGCCCAGATGATGGCCCATCTCGCGGTACTTGGCCGCGTCGCGGAGCGTCTGCGTTCCCTTGAGATTCTGACCTTGCCTGTACTCGTCTCCTTCTGCGGTCGCGTCTCCGAGGAGAGGCTTTGCAGCCCAAATCGGGGCCTTCTTTGAACCTGCCCAGAGACGTAGGGACTGGTTTGTGCTTTAACCCCTTGCCTCGTATTCTTTCGCCTCAGCCCCCTCCACCTCCCCTCCCTCGATCACCTGTCCCCCCCCCGCCCTCCAGTTCCTTATCCTGCCTTCCTGATCTTCTTCTCGCGCCGCTGCCTCACTGCACGAGTTTTACCCCTGTTGCCTCCCCCTGGGGGCATTCCCGCCAGCCCAGTCCGGGACATCCCCGTCGACTGCTGGAGTTTTGCTCCTTTGCCTCCTCTCGGAGCCCTCCTGCCAGCCTGGTATGGGAGTTAATCACATGATGGCCCCCCTCTCAATTAGCTAGTGGCGCTCGTTCCTCATCAACTCAACGTCTCGCTTCGAGCGTCATGCTCCGACTGAGGTGGGCGCCTCCAGCCTCGGGCTCCAATCGGCAAAGCGCGTCTGTTTTGATGTCCTCACGTTCCAGTCCCCTCCCTGGAGGGTTTCTCCGAATGGCTTAGGCGACCCGTCCTCCTCCTCCTCCTCCTTCTCCTCCTCGTCCATCTCCTCCTCCCCCTCCGCCCCCCCTTCTCCTCCTCCTCCTGCCCCTCTTCCCCCCCTCCTCCTCCTCCTCCTCCTCCTCCTCCTCCTTCTCCTCCTCCTCCTCCTCCGCCTCCGCGTCCGCCTCCTCCTCCTCCTCCTCCGCCTCCTCCTCCTCCTCCTTTTTTCTTGGTCGAGCTCGGAGCGGTCCAGCCGCTGAAGCGTCAGTGTGCTCGGCAGTCGGCGCCCCTGACTGCCGAGCGATGCAAGGGTGCAGAGGCCTCGACCTTCCCCGTGGCCGACAGCACGCGCATGAAGCGCTGCAAGGAGCATGCACTCTCGGCGCCCGTCGAGCGTTGCCTTCCTGACCAAGGTACACCCACAACATCCCCGCCCTCATCCCAACCACGTGCTCGGGCGGGCGCACGAGCCAGCATTGTAGTCGTCGATTGACGACAACAGCAGGAGCAAGGAAGAGATGAGGACGTCAAATTACATCAGGACGGGGTGGAGAAGGAAAAGGTGACTCGCCCCTGGTAGCACGCCGCCAGGACGACGAGTCACGGGCTCAAGAGCAGAAATTTGGGGGACGGGGAGGCTTGGGGTGGCGCTCGACGGTTTGTTTCGCCCGCCTTACCACTTGCGCCTCCCGTGCCCTCCCCGTCCCCTAAAGGAGCAGAACAGCACAGTCTCCCCCTTGGTCGGCCCCTCGATAGTTCAACTACTCCGCAGTAGCGCTGAGCACGAGTACGACCTTCGTACACGAGGGGCCGCCAAGGGGGAGGACGCCTTCAAGTACTCCTCCTCCACCAAATCCACTCAACAGACTCCTCCTCCAAATTATTGTCGCCCAAGGCGACTAGACAGGCGGTAGCCTCGCGAGGCTCCTCTCAGCCTGCAGGCTGGGCAAAGCACACAGATACTGATCATCCCGCCCCAACATCCTCCCGACTCACCCCCCCTCTCCCCCAAAGCAAACCTATAGGTTCCTGCGAAGACTCGCCGACAAAATCATGAAGCAGCGGGCCCTTCTGAAGGCCCGCCCAATCAGAACCCCAACAGTTCGTGGAAGTTCAACATATTGGCTATGTTGTCCATGGTATACGTGGCAGCAACGTTCGGGCCCATGATGACGCAGCTCTATCTGATAGTCGCAATGTGTATGAATAATTATCATCTCTCTAGATTCTGTAGCGCCGAACATACAAGTGTCAATCTCAGTGTGGCCCACTCGGGCCCCAATAGTCTCGAAGTCTGGCATGAAGTTCTTCATATTGTCATACGCCTTGCGCTCCGCTAAGACCGCCACAGGAACGCCAGCCATAGTACCTGCTTGCAGTAACCTCCACGCAGACCTCACCTGAGAATTGTCGCCAGCATAGTTCTGTCGGCGTTGGGGAGGCAGTCGTCGGATACCCCAAGGTTCAGTCTGAGTGCGCCCTTGGTCAGGTCCAACTCCGAGCCACGTTCTCCCACTAAGATGGATTAGAATAGCACCTACATGACCTGACTGCATCCGATTAACGATCGTCCTCATCTGCGCCTCTTGTAGTCCAACAACCGTGCCATCCTCGTCACGTTCAGAATATGTTTCAATATCAAGGCCACATGCCTGATGAAGCGCTTCTGAGAATTCTACGTCGCCCTCAGCTTGAAAAACATTAAGCAATACCATTGTACTGGGGTCGCCAGTCTCAATACGTCGAATTGCATTGGGTACCTCACGTACTGGTAACCATACTTCAGGGACTTTGACAGGAACCAGCCTGTCGCCCTTGCCCCCCAGAAGATCTCCGTAGCGAGCCCGTTGTCTAGCCACCCTGTAATTGAATCCTTGCTGAACTTGCTTCCGCTCACGTCGTAAATCCTCCTGCCGCAGAAGTTCAGCTTCATCAGTGGAAAGAAGGTCCCCGTTGTCCAAGAGCCATGAAATACACCTATTGCCTCGTCTGCGTAAGTGCCGTAACAAGTTGGAGCGATCCCCAAAAGCTGTGCCACAAGCTCCACACTGCGTACCTCGTGCTACCAGCTGGGCTCCGTCAATCGGCTGATGGTCCAAGAAGTGTTTGCGCCAGGCAGACTCCTTCGAACACACCCATCCACAAGTATAGCACACGAATTTCTTCTCCAAGTCCGTGCTGACCGCCGGCGCCAGCTGAGCGTTGAGACTTCGTTCTGCAATTTGCATTTGGGCATTCTCAAGTTCTCTATACACGTGATACTCCCATGCCGTCTTGACTTCATTCAAAAAACTCTTCGTGTTCAACCTGGCGTACTGGAACCACTGCTGCACCGTCCAAGCTGAACGAGCTCTGTCCTTGCTGTAACTATCAAGCCATACCAAGTCATCACGAAGTAGTGAGACCCAGGATCCCCGTTCGCCAGCCAATTGGTCAAGAAGAAGCCATAGGACAACAGGAGCCTGCAAAAACATCTTCCCAAAGTACATTAGCCTCTTCTTGCGAATAATATCTCGTAGATGCAGTCTCCTCGCAGCACCTAAGACTTGTTCGTCGTTGTAGAAACTAGTAGTCTGGCGATGATGCTGCAGACCTCGTGCCAAGCGATATGTCGCGATTCGCGGTGTCTCCAACCGTTGCAAGAGTGACTCACTAAGTGCCGTCCATGTCTCTGCCAAATAAGTAAGATGCACATTGGCCAAGGTGTCAACTAGATTCGTTTTCGCTGGCCTCGTCATACCCCCAAATTTCGAAATCATCTTCTTAACAGGCATGGCCGCTATCTTCTGCTTCTGCACAAGGTGTGCTATCCGAGGGCCCATCTCGAGACGGCGGTTGATCATCGTCCCTAAGTACTTGTACTCCTTCACCACATGCACCTGAATATCCCACCGTGTAGGTATAATCAGAAGTTCGTCTTCGTTATCAAGTCGATCCCTCAAGTCAACAGGTGCTTGCCTGCTAGGTAAGATGAACATGGCTGACTTGGACTTTTTGTAGTTGACCAAAAAGCCGTGCGAGAGCATAGCCACATGGACTGCATCCGCAACTTCACCAGCAAGTTGTATAGGATCTTGCAATGGCTCAACAGACTGCATAATCAAGGCATCGTCAACAAAGGAAATATCCGTAAGGTGGGGGTCATCTTGTGATTCCGCAGGTGCAAAGCAGCTCTGAACTCCTTCCACCCGAAGAGGCAAGCTGGCACCTAGCGGACGTAGGGCCTCGTCGATGCTCTTGAGAGGCTTGCAAAACGCTGCGTTAAAGATCGCGTCGGCCAAAGAGCTTCCTGGACGCGAGCTCCTACGCGACCTGGCAACGGTGCTTAGGGTGTTAGTGCCAAAGTGCGTATCTCGATGTCCTTCGATCAGTAGGGCCAAAAGGTGAGGATGTGCTCCAAGACCATCCAAGGCTGCTGGTTGTGATAGGATAAAAGTCAACAGGGGTAGCATCGCTATGGGCAAGTCATGATGGTGTACAATGTATTCGTCGTCTCCATCTGGGTCGCCAAGCCGAGGTAGAACCAGACTACGCACCACCGAATAGAAGGCTTGCACCAAGTCAATAAAATATAGAATAGCCGAGCGACCTTGGAACTGCGCCGCTTGAATAAACGAAGTTGCGATGTGAACCAGCAACGCAGGGCCTTTGGCAGGTCGACCTCCACACTGGGTGTCGCGAAGGAGTACGTCAAGATATCGTGTGAGTTGCTGCCGTAGAAATTTATGCCAACACTTACTCACCACTCCATTCAACAGGATGGAACGATACGTCTGCAGTTGCTGCCCAGGTCCACCTGATTTAAGAAGAGGGAAAACGGTGCCATGCTTCCAATCGAAAGGCTCTTGCTGGTACACGCTCGTCTTGAACATAATCGGCCCATAGTGCCGAGCAGCGGAGCGAGGGCAAAGACGCAGAAGATCGCCATGTATATCATCCTTTCCTTGAGCCTTGCGCCGCTTGACCTGTGAAAACATCCCTGCCACCAATCCAACATGCGGTAGGCAAGCGGTGTCCAAACCTGTACCATCAATGTCATGATGCAGGCGCTCGTTGTATTTTATCCTCAAGGCGTTATCGTCCATTAGCTCTGCGTCCTCAATGTTTGCGAAGTACTCCAATATCATCAAATCGGCCTCCTTATCCGTCGTTGCCACCTGCCCTGCCGAGTCCACCAACATGGGATATCTACTAGATTTACCCTGCCTGCCTCCATACTTGAGCAAAATCTTAAGCAGTCGCCACTCCCCATGTGGTTCATTATTTGCAGCACACACATCCATCTGCCGCGAGAGTTCTTCCAAGAAGGCCGTGCGGTCAACATCAACTGCTCGCCGAACTTTCTTGGCAGTATTAGCCAAGAATGTGCGAAGATGCTCTTGAAATTCGTTAGCCGTGAAGCCTCCCTCTCGCATTTTTTGCCCATGACAACGAAGCTGACGAACGTCAGATTGCCAAGGCCGCTCCTGACGGGGTCGAAAAAGCGGGTCATCCAGATGATTAAGTAGTTCTCGCCAAGGTGGTCTGGCTTCAGTGTGCTCAGGAAGCCAACGACGTGCCCGCGTAACGCACCGACGTAGTCGGACTAATTCCATAGTAGACTCAGAAACATATCCTTTATAAGAAGTCAATCTGTTGGTACCAAAACATGTTCTAGCAGCCCGCCTGACCAGCTGATTCGTCATTTCAAGATGGTCGTTTACATCGAGCTCCCACTCTGGCAGTACGGCGTTGTCCAAAATCGTGGTGAACTGTCTTACCTTGCTCTCGTCCCTGAGCTTAGACTGATCAAGATGTAACGCCGAACTCTGTTTGCCAACTGTGCGGACACCGCTCGTCTTCAGATCCACAATAACTGGATGATGATCTTCTCCATCACTGTAGGTGTCGAATCCATAGTCAACCTGGCATTGAGTTACTGTGTCAGCCCAATGTGAATCCAGAAGAATGTGGTCAAGACGATGTCGGACTCCAGCAATAGAGGTATATGTGTGTCCCCCTTTATGCGGGTGCCAGGTAGAAGCAAGAGACAACTGGTGTACTTCGAGTACCTGACGCATAGCTTTTGCAGGTCCGTCGTCGCAAGCAGGAACGCAGTATTCTGGGTGAAATCTGCCAACTAACTCCCGAGAACCGCTCGAGGATACCTCTGCCTGCCCGATCTTGGCATTCATGTCTCCGAGTACGATAGAAGGAGGCCACCGCGACATCATCTCTTGTAATTTGGCCCACCATTCAGTGTACGAGATACTCTCGTGCCTCTCATGCGGGGCGTGCACCACGTAAACGAAAATGTCCAACTCACTTGTAGTCAGCCTGACCACCAAAAGCCTCGGGTCCTTGTAGATCAGTCTGACATTGTTCTTCTTGAGTTGCTTCTCGCCGTTTGGTCCCGAGCAGTACGACTTGTTCATATCCACTAGCAATGTGCAGCCCAACTTCGACTGCTCTCCTGAGCCAATGATGTAAAACCCGTCTCGAATCCCTGGTGCAGCAGGTGATGGAGCCTCCTGCAAGCCAACGAGGTGGGCGCCCAGTTGTTGAAATTGCAGTCGTATCTGCTGTCCTCTATGAAAGTGCCCTGCCTGCGGCTCCCCCATGTTGGCTCGCTGTGTGTTAAAAGTTATCACTCGGAGATTTAAGTTGAACGGTATAGCCTTCGTGACTGTCACGGTGGGTGATGCAGTCGGCTGAAGTATGGCTTGCTGTCGTATTGCCTGATATGTGAAGCCATGCTCCGTGAACTTGGGGTAGGCCGCACTGTCCATGTCCTCTCTGTCTCTCAACATAGCCCAACCCCAGTTCAATGCAGGTTTGAGCTGTCCCACCAGTTGCTGTGGAAGAGGTGGGGGTGGGTGATCCTTCGCGTGCTTCGCAACTACATCCGACATCTCGTTCCAGGGGTGCCCGTCATGACCAGCTGTGTGAGACAAGGTGATCCTCCTGGTACGTCGGGCAGCGTCGAGGGCGTGGCTCCCAAGTCGAGAGAAGGGCTCTTCCTGGGCCACCCCTGACGAAACGCGCCACATCGCGGGTTGGCAGTCACATACCACCTCCACCTCGATGTGCGCCTCGAGCTGCAAGGCATATAGTAGCGCCCACAAAATGCCTGCCGTCTCGGTGGTCACACTGTTGATCTGATGGTCGGACAGCTCCGCGTTGATGCTGTCCACCACGTAGGCGCTGAAGTAGCCCAGGAACTTGAAACAATCGCCGTCAGTTGCCAGCAATGTGCAAGCCCAAGCTGAACTCGTAGGCTCGCTGTCGTGATAGGAGCCGTCGCAGAAGATGAAGACCTTGCACACTGCATTCTCCAATCTCTGCGAAAGGGACATGGCCAGCATGCTATGCTCGTGGAGCGACATGCCAGCAAGATTCCGCTGCAACTGAATGTGCCATCGAAGCCGTTGAAACACCAAGTGTAGTGGCTCGGGCGTCTCCAGCGAGCAAAATCGTCCATAGCAATTATACTGAGGTGAGACCTGGGCGTCAAGGTGCCCGAGCCTTTCGTCGGCTCTCGGAGTGTCTTCAATGAGCTGTACGTCATGATTGCCGCAAACCACTGGAGCATCTCCGCTTCCCAACCTTTGCTGAGGTATGCGTGCGGACGAGTCCGCAAAGTCACTTAGAAATCGAGCATCTACTCTGACGGCAGTCCCCAGCCCACTCAGTCCAAGACTGGGAACCCGTAAAGCGTGGGCCATAGTCTCCGCTGAGGTCCCAGCCCCCGACGCTGGCTGAGACCCTTCCCACGCGCTCAGGGGCGCTGGGACGCGCCCGGTTCATCCCCACGGTGTCCAGGAGGAACGTCCGCGGGTTGCTGATGACGTGAATCAAGAGGTACGCGAGAACGCTGTAGGTCGTCAGCTCCCGTATGCTCGATAGCCTGACTTGACGACCATTCACCACTCGTAGTAGCGACCCCACCTCTCGTCTTCTCATCACGTGTGCGACTATCTTCAGTAAGAGGCGGAACACGCGGGTACAAGAATTGTCTCCCATACTTCCGAGCTGGCCTTTTGTGCACCGTGCTCCTGTCAGTGTCCTCTTCTCCTGAACGAAATGCATGCTGCGCCACGTCGGAAGGTACCTCATCGTCATCATCTGCAACATCCCGACGTTCACAGTCGTGATGATCATCTCCGTGGACAACCTCTTCTGCAAGTTGCTGTACAACCTCGAGTCCGTACTTGACTAGCTCATCCTGGTATTGTTCCTCTTGCTCTTCTCTGGCTACCTTCCTGTCATGCATCAGCAGGCAGATTTCCTCCTCTTGAATGGCCTCAAGCTCAGATGCTACTTCACGATCGTACCTTTGGGCTGCGTCAATGATATCTTCTACCGAAACTGCATCTGCAGAGTCCATCGTGGTGGAGTACCCATTTGGAGGCACGTCGTGAAAAACTTCAACTGATAGATCAGGTACCGCCGTCGGTGAAGAGTGTACAGAGTCAACTTGAACTTCCTGTCGATGTTCAGCTCGTTGCTGTGCCTCACGTTGCTCTGCCTCCTTGTATTCTGCACTTCGAATCGCTGATGCACGTGCCTCTTCAAATGCATAGGCCTGCCGTTCTGCACGTAGCCATTCTTGAAAATCAGCTTCATCCTGCAGTCTAGCAGCGTCCTCGTCGGCAAGCGCAGCATCTACTGCCCGAGTCATAGTAGAAGGTGGTGAGGAGTAGAGTGAGGAACATATTGGCGAGCCCGCCATGTACCTCTGGCACTCGTAGTCAATGTGCATCTCGCTGTCGCGCTCAGCCTGCTTCTTTTGCTCGACCAGTTCGGCTTCAAACTTCTCCGTCTCATTCTCTACACTGCTGCCAAACTGAACTCTAGATACTCCCGTCTTGCCGTATGGATTCGTTCGATTCGATCGCGGGGTCATAAATCCTTTTCCTTTTTGAGTACGAAGCCGTCCGATTTCACCTTCATAATGCTGCGTGCGAGCTTCTGCTGATCGGATTGCCTCAACAAGCTGCTGTTGTCGTTCTTCATCGTGCTGACGCTGCTCCGCTAATTCAAGCCAAGCCTTCTGGTACCGCTCGTCGTTCTCAGTCTTCATCTCCTGCACCTCCTTGAGCTCACAAGCCACTCTTGCCAGCTGGCTGCGCTTCCATTGCTCCATGTCCTCGGTATCCTTCTGATGCTTGGCTTTGTCCATCTCCATGAACGCCTGGCGCTGCTCGTCAACCTCCTCTGACCGACGCTGGAGCTGCTGCATGATCGTCGTGATCTTGGCCATCTCCTCCTGACCGAAACGCTGAACTTCCATTTCACGGCTTGCCAGTTGCTGCCTCTGATGTGCTAATTCTTGTTGCTCTCCACTGTGCTCGCGACGCCCGCACTCAATCTGGACCTGCAACTGCCTGTTCTGCTGCTGTAACATTAAATTATGCTGATGCGCTGCTGCCGCTGCCCTCTGCTGTTCCAACCATTCATTGTGTCTAGCTGCCTTGCATTCACTCTCATAGACCTTGGCCTGCTCCTTCGTGAGTAATTCTGTTCTTGGCACCGATTTGGCCACCGATGTTGCTGCCACGGAGCTGCTGCTGTCGACCGTCATGTGATTATCTGCATCCCTGAGGGGTGGCTGCGGCGTCATCTGCGAGAGCGGTATCTGTGGAGCTGCCGTCGTCGGCGCCTGTGTAGCTGGGGTCTGCATCTGCCCTGGTATTGACATAGCCACAGGAGTATCTTGCCGACCTTGTGGAGACTCCTTGTGAAACACCTGTAGGCCGACTGGAAGCGGCTGAGGTGTCTGCTGTGAACTGAGTGAGGGCATCGGTGCACGTGATGACAAGAAAGCCGATCTGCCTGTCGAGCTCCCTGGCGTACCTCCCGTCGGTATATATGCACTCGTGCCACCGTATGGATCCGTTCTGGCTGGTGAAGCTGAAGGCCGCCGAGCATCGTCTTGAGCTGGATTCTGCACTCCCAACTGCTGTACTGTACCTTGACCTCTAGAGACTTGCCCCTGCGGCTGTCTCAACGAGGCCTGACAGCGCAAGTGTTTGCCGTCCACGATTGGGGTTGGGTCTCGACTCGAAGGAAATGGCGGAGGTGGCGGCGGAGGTGGTGGTGGTGGGGGTTGCTCTGCACAGTCTGCTCGGAGATCCTTCTGCAGCGCCACCCTCCTGTCGTGACCAATATCAGCCTCCGTGCTTGATAATTCTGCTATGTCTGCCTCTCCTTCAGCTGCTTCTCGAAATAAGTCATGATAGTAGTCCAACATCGTCTCCTCATAGAGAGCCTCCTGCTTCAGTGCCGATATTTTGCCCTCGATCTTGTGCAGCTTCTCCTCCGTCTTCGTAATATTGTCCTTCGCTTCCCTGCGTTGAATAGCACATGGCTTGAGTTGCCACATCATCCACTTCATAACACTCAACTCCTTCTCTTGGGTAATCACACATGTTCCCAACCGCCGCCCGTGTACAATGACCTCTGCCGTTCTATGCATCCTCTCCTCCAAAGACTTCCGATACTTGGCTGTGTCGGACTTCGGCGGTGGGCTGTAAATGGAGTGATTCATGGCGTACTTGCTAGTGCTCATCATCGTCTCCTCCAGAACCTTAGCAGTCTCATTCTTGAATGTAGCACTATCTCGATCACGACGACGTTGATCCGCCTGCTTCTGCATTTGCTTCCTCCACGTGTTGTTGCAGCTCTTCTTCACGCATTGCCATGACGCTGGTTCGTTGGTCTGGCCGCAATCGATACAAGTCCATCTGCCTGGCTTCGCCATGCTGGAGTGGTGCGCCGCCAGAACCTTCTGCGCCTTCGTGACTCTGAGAAGAATCCTCGCCTGAGCTCGCTGTCGACGGCGACGCCGATGTGCAGCGCCCTCAGGGCGTTTGGCCGTCTGGCCTGCTCCTGGCGGGCGGCCCGCCGCGCGCGACCTCGCGCGCAGTCTGGCCCGCCGCGGGCTGCCGCCAGGGGCTGCCGCCGCTGCAAGGGGTGTGGGGGTGTCCTCCCCCTCGCTGCAGCCCCTATCGCGGCCGCCGCGCTGCCGCCCGCCCACGCGTGGGGCGGCGTCCGCCCCACCCCGAGTGGGCAAACGGCTCCTCCTCCTCCTCCTCCTCCCCGGGTCGCCTGCGGCCACGGGGGAAGCCGTGCACCCCTCCCCGCCTCTTTCTGAGCCCGTGCGACCTGCGCGCGGATGCTGGCCTCCCGGTGCGAGCCTTCTTCCCGAGCGGTGCCCCCGAGTGCCCGCCCGCGGTGTTCGCTCCTGCAGGCCGCGCTCCCCCCCCCCTCCCCCCTGCACGCTCCCGCCGCCGTTTTTCTGGCGCGGCCCTTCCGAGAGGCGCCGCCGTCGTCGGAGGCTCGAGCGGCCCCCCGGGTCCATCCCCGGACGCGGCAGCGACGCGCGGGCCGAGCCGGCGGCCTTTTGCTCGGTAGGAGCGAGCACGGGGCATGGACGGCCGAGCGGTGGCGAGTGCGTGGGAGAAGGACGTCAGGCAGTGGCGAGGCGTCCTGGCGTGCCTATGGCCCTACCAAGCAATGTTCTAAGAGCATTTTGTGGTTTCCACGACATGTTCTTGGAACATGTCTGGTTGAGATGGTCCTGTTTTAACATCTCGGGCTCATGTTCTAAGAACATGGTTTTTGTGGTTAAAACATTTTTGGGTTCTCAGAACATTTCGTGGTAGGACTATAGGAATGCGGGGACGGTCGGTCCCTGCTCAAACAGGGGACACAAACATCAATTCACGGAGCTCCGCGCGGATTTCTTGGATCTGCGCCGGGGCCCTCTGCCAGCGCCTCCAGCGTCGCCCTGAGCTGTTCGGTGCCCTGTGGAGGGGGGGCGCTCGGCGCAGCTCCAAGAAATCCGCGCGGGGCTCCGAAAGTGTATGGTGATGCCGCTTTTTCTTCCTACTTTGATGATGCCCTGGCGCCGCAGGCTCTGGGCGCTCTAGTATCTACGACCTGGGCAGCAGGGTGACAGTGGGTCTCTCGTCTCGAGCGCCCTCCCTGTAGGTGCGCGCCCCAGTGCTGAGAGTCAGGACCGCCAGCTGCCGCGGTAACTTTTTTCCATCCGCCCCTCCGTTCGCCGTGGCCTTGAACTGCGGCCTCGGGGCATTATTATGCTGCATTGGACCCGGATCTAGAGCGACGAGAGAGCTAGAGGCTCCCCAAATGACAGAAAACGGTGTCGACAAAAAGCGGTGCACCAGTAACGCAAGCCATGGCATGGAGCTCTCCACACAGACACTTGATTCTCGAGTCTTCAGTCCCCCTCCGCCCAAGCACCTTCAGTCCATCTCAGAGTTCGGCCCCCCCAGGGCCGAACAGTGTCCCAAAGGTCCCAGCATTTCTCGTACGCTTCAGACGAAAAAAGAGCGGCAGCAAGCCTTTGAAGATTGTTCGCTCTTCGTTGTTCTCGAGCCCTTGGACATGTGTATCCCGAACCTCCGGGGCCCGCCCTCGATCTCCCGGGGCCCGGCGAGGGCCCCTGGGGCCCCGCGCGGGCCATAGCTTTCCGTCGCCACTGTCTCGCGGCATGAGGATGCCCGTCAGTGTCGGAGTCCTTGAGATTGGCACCGTCACCAACATCGGCGGTGCGCCTGCACCGAAGGAAGATGAGCCCACCATCGGGGACGATGGCAAGATGCGGGCTTCCTCGGTGACCGACAGCTTGACACTGGCCCCAACATCCAAGACCATCTTCCCCCGATGGAGACGTGCCCCTGCGTTGGTGTCGGTGGCAATTTCCAAGCCTTCAGCAGGGAGGGCCACTCCGCGCGGACACTCGCGCGTAAGCTTCCCGCGTAAGGCTGCGCGTAAGCGTACTCTTCTCCGCGTGGTGTGCCACGCTGGTGGTCCGCCGCGGCGTAAGCCGGGCACGTCTTGTCGCGTAGGGCCCCTTCCTTGTCGCCGCACACTTGCAGAAGCCTCCCATCGCGACCTTTTCGCGGCTTCAAGGACGTCCGCCAGTAGCCAAGGGGAGAAGAACCACCGACCCCAAGAATTGGCGTTCACGACGCGGCCCTACGCGTTTCCCGAACAGCCCTGCCTGTTCGATCCATTATTTGGGTGCGTTTATTGAACGGCTTCGCTTCTGGGGATGGTCATGATCTATAAGGGTGGACCCTGCTCTCCTACTCGGCGGCGAGCGAGGGAGGAAAATGAGAAGGTGAATACCTCCACAGAAGGCGGCGGGAGTTCTCAGAAGACTGCGCGCCATCTGAAAAGTTCTTCGTGTCGTCGGGGAAGGCTTCGAAAGCTTCTCAGAAGGCCGTGGGACCTCCGAGCCTTCCGAGAAGGCCTCCTCCTTCTCGCTCGCCCCCCCCCCCTGCTCGCCGCCAACATCTACGAGGGTGGACCCTGCCCTCTTCGGAAGGGTCACTCCCCCCGCTCGCCGCCGGCTCCTGCCTCGGCGGCCGCGGCAGGGGCCGCGCCCTTGGCGCCTCGGCGGGGCGGGCGGCGATACAGCGGGCGAGGAGGCAGGGCGCGGCTCCTCTGCGGGCACGCGCGTGCTTCCGGGCACGAGGTCAGGGCTCCGGAGAGGAGAAAGCACGTGTAGACACGATGATCATCGTCGGCTCCCGGGAACGATGGGAAGATGTGGGAAGTGGGGGGGAAGACGAAAGCCCCAAAAATATGAGAAAATAAAATAAATCCTGGGATTTGTGCTTATCTATTTGTGTGTCCCAGGGCCCCTTTAAAGGAGCTTGGCTCTTTGATTCCGATTGGTCACGCTTCGCGCAGCCCTCGCCACGGAGGAAGCGGGCCCTGAGGGAGAAACGGGTCCTGAGGTTTTTTGTTCGCCGTCTTGGCTTCATTGTGCCCTCCACGGGCCCCGGACTGGCAGAAAGCGGCTCAGGATGAAGAATTGTACTTGGGGAAGGCCCTAGGTCAGAGGAGGAAAAGGTATCCATACATCTACCCTTCCCTCGTTTTCCCGTTTTTTGGACCAGGGTCCAGGGCCCGTTTGCCTCAGGACCCGCTTCCCCCATGCTGAATCCCCACCAGCCCATACAGAGACGGTGCCCAGGCAGACGGCAGCCGTGATACAAGAGCTGGCGAGTAGGCCGAGGCCCAATGATCAGTTCTGTGCGATACCGCGCGGAGCCAGAGGATGAGAAGGATGAGGCACAGGAGGCGAATAGGACACAGGGAGATGAAAAGGATGAGACAGCACGGGCCTTGTTTGGCCTTTCGCTCTGAGAGGCCTTGTGCCCTCGTGGAGCCATCTCGGGTTGTCTTAGTCCATGCGGGACGCAATGTTGGGCTACTTGAGAAACCCTCATGGCGCCATCTGGTTGCCCTCTTGGGGGTATCTTGGAGTTCTCTTGGGCTCCCCAGGGGGGCGTCTGGGGGCTGTCTTTGTTGGGCCTCGTGGAGCCATCTTGGAGGACATCGGTCAAACTTGTAGGCCATTTGGGACTATCTAGAGCCCTCCTTGGCACCATATTGGAACCCTCTGGGTCCTCTTAGGGCCCTCTTGGGTTCCCTGCAGCCCTCTTGAGGCCAACCTGGAAGACATCGAGAGGTGGGGTCGTATTGTAATCAGCGGTGCCTCTCTTGAGCCCCAACAGTGATGTTGATGACGATGGTGACGATGATGATGGTGACAATGCTGATGCTGATGGTGAGTGTGATGATAATGATGTGATGAGGACGATGATGATGGTGGTGGTGGCGGTGATGATGATTACCATGATGGGGATGATGACAGTGATGATGATGATGATGATGATGATGATGATGATGATGACGCTGATGACGACGATGCTGGTGGTAATGATGATGCCAGTGCTGACTTTTGTGTTGATGATGATGGAGATGGTGAGGGTGATGATGATGATGACGCTGATGACGATGCTGATGATGGTGCGGATAATGTTGATGTGTGTGATAATGCTGGTGATGGTGGTGGTGGGTGATCCGTATGAGTGTCATGAAGATGGTTCTGCTGCTGGTGATGGGGGTGGTGGTGATGAGGCTGATGATGGTGATGGTCGGTGTAGTGGCGGTGGCGATGTGGGTGATGATGATGATGATGATGATGATGATGATCATGCTGCCGGTAGTTGTAGGGGGTGATGTTAGTGGCGCTGATGATGCGGATGATGGTGATGGTGATGATGGTGATGGTGATGGTGATGTTGATGATCACTGTACGGATGAAACTGATGATGCTGATGCTGATGGTGATGGTAACGGCGACGATGATCATGTTGAAGATGTTGCTGATGGTGATGATGGCCATGATGAGGATGATAATGATGACGATGCCACTGCTGATGATGGCGATGATAATGACGATGATTGGAATGACAATGCTCACGAATCTGACATTGGTGGTGATGCTGTTGCTGCTGACGATGATGCTGATAGTTATGATGACGATGATGTGTATAATAAGTGTGATGTTGATGATGCTGATGATGCCGCTGATGATGATGTTGATTATTTTGCTAGTGACGATGAAGCTGATGCTGTCGGCGATGCTGTTGCTGCTGGTGATGGTGATGATGAGGAGGTTGATGTTGATGATGCTGATGCTGGTGGTGATGATGATGCTGCTGTTGATGATGATGTTGGTGATGATGATGATGACGATGATGATGATGTTGCTGATGATGCTGATGATGATGTTGATGATGATGATGATGACGATGACGATGACGATGATGATGATGGTGATGCTGATTAAATATTATGATGATGATGATGACGATGGTGATGGTGGTGGTGATGAGGATGAGCAGGAAGTGGGGAGGAGGAGCAGGAGGAGGAGGAGGAGGAGGAGGAAGAGGAGGAGGAGGGGGAGGAGGAGGAGGAAGAGGAGGTGGAGGACGACGGTGCCAGGAGAAGGAGAAGGCGAACCAGGAGGCGGGTAACGGAGGAGACGGCGGAGGGGATGGCGGGGTAGGACGACGACGGCGAGCCGCATGTATGTGGTGAGGGTGCTGCTGACGAGTCGGAAATTCTGACGACGGGGAGGCGGCGGAAAAGGGCCAGGCGATGGCCGACGAGGACATCTAGGTCAAGCATATGGCGGAGGAGGAGGGGGATGACAAATACATCGAGACCGCAGCTGAGGAGGATGATACTGATCAGGAGCAGGAGAGGAGATGGCTGATGAAGGATGATGAGGAGGCCGCGATGAGGAGGAGGAGGAGGAGGAGGATGAAGATGAGGATGAGGATGGGGAGGAGGAGGAGGAGGAGGAGGAGGAGGAGGAGGAGAAGGAGGAGGAGGAGGAGGAGGAGGAGGGTGGCGATGAGGAGGATGAGGACGAGATGAGGATAGGGATGGAGAGGAGGAGGAGGCGGAGGAGGAGGAGGAGGAGGGGGAAGGAGGAGAAGGAGGAGGAGGAGGAGGAGGAGGAGGGGAGGAGGAGGAGGAGCAGGAGGAGAAGGAAGAGAGGAGAGGAGGAGGGAGGAGGAGGAGGAGGAGAAGGAGGAGGAGAGGAGCAGGAGGAGAAGGAAGCGGAGGAGAGGAGGAGGAGGAGGAGGAGGAGGAGGAGGAGGAGGAGGGCGGAGGAGGACGAGGAGGAGGGGAAGGGGGAGGGGGAGGAGGAGATGGAGGACGGCGAAGCAGAGGAGAACGGTAGCATGTTGATGGCGGAGGAGGGCGAGGAGGGCGGCGGAGGAGGAGGAGGAGGACAAGGTGGTGGACGAGTGCGAGGACAAGGACGAGGGCAAGGAGGAAGAGGAGGAGGAGGAGGAGGAGGAGGAGGAGGCGGAGCACCAGGACAATGAGGCCGAACTCCGGGTCCGAGAATGGAGCCCCCCGTCCAGGTCTCCGCCATCCCGCCCATCCCCGCCGGGCCAGCGAAGGCGCAGAAGGGCTGGAACAGCGTGCAGCTGGGCCGGGCCCTCAGCGGACAAGGGCGGTCGCGGGTCGTCTGTCGTCGTCGTCGTCGTCGTCGTCGTCGTCGTCGTCGTCGTCGTCGTCGTCGTCGTCGTCGTCGTCGTCGTCCGTCGTCGTCGTCGTCGTCGTCGTCCGTCGTCCGTCGTCCGTCGTCGTCGTCGTCGTCGTCGTCGGTGTCGTCGTCGTCGTTGCCGACGACGACGTCGTCGTCGCCGGGCCGCCGGCGGCACCGTCGCCCCGATGCCTGGCCCCCCGAGGCCCACGATGCCGAGCCCGCTGGGCCCACGGAGCGGGCCACCGCGAGCGGGCCGGGCCTCTCGCGAGGGCGGCGGGCACCGAGCTCGGCCCACGTGCTTTTCGTCGTCGCCGAAGTCGCCGTCGTCGCCGTCGCTGTCCTCGTCCGCGTCCTCGGCGTCGTCCTCGTCGTCGCCGTCGTGGGAGGGTGGTGGTCGTGGCCCTCGAGTGCGATAACGGAACAACGCGAGTGATTCAACGCACTTTATACCGCGCCCACCGCACTTGACGGGGGCGAACGAGGAGGAGGTGGAGGAGGGGAGGAGGAGGGGGAGGAAGAGGGAGGGGACGCAGCACGACGCCCAGCTCCGGGCTGGCCCGCGATGCAAGGCGGTGCCCCTGCCATGCCCGTTTCCGGGGCCCCCGTCCGGCCACGCACGGGACGACGGAACCTTGGCCGCCAGAGTGACGCGCGGCTTTCGGGGGGCGTTGGGGTGGGGGTGCGGCTGGGGGTGCGGCTGGGGGTGTGGCTGGGGGGGGGGGGGGCGGAGGCGGCGGGGAACGGAGGAGAGGGGGGCGGCGGCGGCGGGGGGGGTGGGGGGGGCAAAGCCCACGCGCCCAGGCCGCTGCTGTCGCGCCGCACGCAGCCGTCGGCAGGCGACGCGCCTCAGGCCGCTCTCGCACGGGGCCGCGCCGGCGTGTGGCAGGCCGCGGCGCAGCAGCCGCAGGGCGCGCGGCGGAGGAGGCGAGGGGGCCAGCGGTGGCCGGCGCGGTGCGCTCCGCCTGCCGAGCCCGGGCTCGGGCGCGCGCGGAGGCTCGGGGGAGGCTTCGGGCTGCGGCGGGGCCCCGGTGGGCCTGGCGGTGCCTCGTGCCTCCACGGCTGGAGGCCGTTGGAGAAGCTGGGGGCCAGGGTGCCGATTGAAGTCGTCGTCGTCGTCGCCGAAGTTGTCGTCGTCGTCGTCGTCGTGGTCGTCGGCGTCGTCGTCGTCGTCGTCGTCGTCGCCGTCGAGGTCGAAATCGTAGTCTTCGTCGTCGTCGTCGTCGAGGTGGTCGTGGTGGTCGTGGTCGTCGTCGACTTCGTCTTCGTCGTCGTCTAAGTTTTCGTCGTCGTCGTCGCCGAAGTCGTCGTGGTGGTCGTCGTCGTCATCATAGTTGTCGTCATCGGCGTCGTGGTGGTGGTCGTCGTCGTCGTCGAAGTCGTCGTCATGGAAGTCGTCGTCGTCGTCGAACGTCGTAGTCGTAGTCGTCGTCGTTGTTGTTGTCGTCGTGGTGGTCGTGGTCGTCGTCGTCGAAGTCTATGTCGTCGTCGTCGTCGTCGTGGTGGTTGTCGTTGTCGAAGTCGTCGTCGTCGTCGTCGAAGTCGTCTTCGTCGTCGTCGTCGTGGTTGTCGTCGTTGTCGCAGTCGAAGTCGTCGTCGTCGTCGTCGTCGTCGTCGTCGTCGTCGTCGTCATCGTCGTGGTCGTGGTCGTCGTCGTCGTCGAAATCGTCGTCGTCGTCGAAGTCGTCGTCGTGGTTGTCGTCTTCGTCGTCGTCGTCATCGTCGTGGTCGTCGTCGTTGTGGCATGTCGTCGTCATCGTCGTCGTCGTCGAGGTCGTCGTCGTCGCCGTCGCCGTCGACGGAGTCGAAGTCGTCGTCGTGGTCGTCGCCGTCGTCCTGGTGGTGGTGCTCGTGGTCGTCGTCGTCATCGGCGTCGTCGTCGTCGCGGTGTTCTTGGTCGTCGTCGTCGTCGTCATAGGTGCCGCCCAGAGGAGGCCACGCCACCTCTGCGGGGCCTCGCGCGAGGGAGAGGGGCACGCGACCGGCGGTGGCCCTCCCAGGGGAGGCTGGCGGCCTCCTGCCCAAGGGCCCACAGGCACTGCTGAAAGGGTCTGGATGCTTCCGAGAAGGCCTCTGGAAGGCTTTCATGCATCGGAAGCTGGAGCATATCCCCAGACCCCCTCGGGCCATGAGAAAATCGTGACGGAGGGTTTGTCGTTATTTTCAGTCTCCCGGGGGCCCTTGTTGGGCCTCGGGGCCTTCAAAAGACGATTCAGGACGATAGGCCGGTCCCGGGGAATGGGTCCAGACTGCTGGGGGTCCACGTTATGAAAAATTCATGACGTTGGGGGCCCATGCACATTCCCAGTGGCGGATTGTTTTTCAATCCCAGGACTTGCGAGGGTCGGGGGGCGACGTCGGGGTGGTGTGGTGAATCCTTTTTTCCCTTGCTTCCCTGAGGGAACATATTGAAAAATGTCTACACCAGGATCACGTACACCAGGACCCGCTGTTCTGTGCGAGTTTCAGTGCGGGTCCCCTTCGAAGGTTTATGCCTGTGCCTTCGTGGTTCCTCCACACGGGCGGCTCTTCGTGTGATTGAGATTCTGGAGACCCGTACCAGGCTTCTTGAAGGGGGGAAGGCTTCTTTAAAGGAGGTTGCTTCGTAAAAGGCGCGGGTCTTGTCTGTGGATGTGCGGCCCGCGCCTTCTAAGAAGCAGGGCTGCTTCTCTAAAGCCTTCCCTCTACCCCCTTGTGTGCGCCGCCAATCGCCGTCGTGAAAGAGCCAAAGTGCCAGATGGGCTGGGGAGGGCGCCCCCCACCCAGACCTGGACATGCTGAAAGAGTTCGAGAGCACCGGCGGCGTCTTCATAGAGGAGGCGGACGAGGACGAGGCCTCCCAAGACATGCTCGCGCTGTAAGGAAGAAGCCAGGGCAGGAGGTGCTTCGCAGTCTCCGGCCTCTGGGGGCCCTCGCCGGGCCCTTGGACCGTCGAGGAACGACATCTGAACGAGAGGCCGGCCCCCCACGGGGAAAAGGTCGGGCCTTCGTGGCACCGCGCACATGGAGGGCATCACGGCGCCCCGCGTCTGTGGGAACAGTGGGACAGCTCAGTGGGACAGCGGCGGAGACAGTGGGGCACTGGGATAGTGGGACAGTGGGACAGTGGTTGGGGCCGTGGGGAAAGTGGGGAGAGTGGGACCGTGGTGGGAACTGGTGGGGAGAGTCGGGACAGTGCGACAGTGGTGGGGGCACTAGTGGGGACAGTGGGGACGGGCGGTACCGCCGGCTCGTGGCGCCTGGTGAGGTTCTGGAGCTCTCGCCGCGGTGCTCACTCGACGTCGCGATCGCCGCCGCCGCTGTCGCCTCCTTTTCCTCCCCCTTGCCGCTCCCCAAACACCTCGCCTGGCCGCCCGAACCCAAAGTAGTTAGATGTACACTGTTTTTCAAACTAAGAATTGCCCGAACGAGCACGAACCTATTTTTTAAATTAACGCTTCATCTTGCCCTAGCGTTAACCTCGCTTACCTCACGGACCCAACCGAACCAAACCTTCGTCATAAACAAGTCGCAACCCTAATCCCAATCAGCATACCGCACAACACACCCCTGACCCAAACCGTAACACCACACCATATTCAATCATGAATTCTCCCCCACACCGTTCAGCACCTTCAGCTCTGACCTAACACCCGCATGCTGGGGAGGGCGGCGAGGGGGGTTGTGGAAGCGCAAGCCTGGGCCATAGCAAGAAGGCGACGACGATTGGCACGCGCTGCAAGATAAATCATAGGAGAACGCAGAGCTGAGAGGTTCGCTCAACGAGCAGGAACAGTATGCCGACAACCCTTGCGGGGCTCTTCAGACCATCTAAGGCTCTTTGATCATGTAGGCAGCCAGGGCCGACGCTGAAGAATTCAACATCTAGGTTTCGCGACCCCCTGTCGTTGCGTAAGATGGCTGGAGGTTACAATTGAAGACGCCATTACTCTGATGCTCGCGCATATATTGCGGGGCGGTGGCGGGTCGTCCACACCAATGTTCATTTGTGTATTGATGTTGGTGATCCAGGTCGCGGCTTACATGCGCCGTAAGTGACGCGGCAAAACAATGGTTTCATGCAGATATTCATATTTGCGTGGCCTGGCTTGTATGACGATAGGTTCCTGGTGCAATACTTACACATATCTACCTTCAGGAAGTATGATCCGATGTCCATGGTTGGTTTTCGGGGCTCGTGGTTGTCTCTGGGTGTTTTTAGACGTCCTCTGATTTCGGCGCCCCTGGATCGGTCAGCATATCCACACCCGTATGCCACCACGTGTTCTGTATGTTTGCTTGTGCGCGTGGGTGTCCCTAAGTGTCCCGAGGTCTCCTTAGATGCCGCTACGTATCTTTAGGGATCCGCGGGTGTCTCTAGGCATCCCCATGTGTCCTTGGATGTCTTTCAGTGTCCCTGGATATCCATTTGTCTGCACATGTCCGTGGCTGTCCCCAGGTGTCCTTGGATGTCCTCAGGTGTCCCTGGATGTCCTAATGTGTCCTTGTATGTCCCGGGATGTCCCTGGATGTCCCTAGGTGTCCCTGGATGTCCCTCGATGTCCCTGGATGTCCTTTGATGTCCCTGGATGTCCCTGCGTGTCCTTTGATGTCCCTATGTGTCCTTGGATGTCCTCTGGATGCGCGCCTCGGACATGCCACCCTTGAAATTTCTCGGGCCCGCTCGAAATCAAAAGTTCGTGCGTTCAAGTTGTGGGGAATCTCATTTGAAAACAAATCCAAATACAATACGCGTGCACAACTTTTTCTGATTCCTACACTGTTCGATCGACTGCTCCATACGATGGCGAACTATTCTGGTCTGGGCTTCGCGGATCTCCTCGTCGTTTGCCGACTCATATGTGCTGTTCATCTCACAACAAGAGAAACTCATGCCACTCCTCCTCTTCTGAAGATGCGCTTCTGCTGCTGCTACTGCTGCTGCTGTTGCCCCTTCTTCTTCTCTTGAATATCCTCCTCCCCCCCTTCAGAGTGCCGATCACTCAAATCCTTTGCCATGCAATGCCCCCGTTGGCCCGTCCAAACTCATCGCGCCTCGCACGGAAGTCTGGCGGTAGGCTGTGATGCCGGACGGCATGGTTATACTTTTTTTGGCGGGGCACCGGGGCGGGTTCTCGACTCTACAAACGACGGGGCGTAGACACAGAAGTCGCTCGATTTCATCGTTCTGTTAATGCCTGTCTCTAAGCTCGAGGCGACGGCCGATACGATTCGATACCACATTCGAAATTCTTGCCCGCGCCCATGACACAAACAAAACAGCACGGCAAATCCGCAGTGCAACTGTTACTGCACACTACAATTTTTGGGGAGCCATTATCCATCTTAGCTTTAGTTTGAGCAGTTGTTTCTGATGTTGCTGCACATTTGTGTGGGTGTCCTATGGGTTTCGTGGGGTTCGCATGTGTTATCATGGTGGTCTCTCTCTAATTGGCACTAGCCACGCCTTGTTTTGTCTACGTTTTCCCAGGTTCCTGATGTGTTCAATAGGGTTTCATGAGTTTCAATACGTTTCGCTGAGTTTCCACAAGTTTGCACAGAGCGTGATGTTGTCCTTACGTGTCCTTACTTGTCCTTCGATGTCCCTAGATGTCCCGGGATGTCCCTAGATGTCCCTGGATGTCCGCATTTGATGTCCCTGGATGTCCCTAGATGTCCCTGGATGTCCGTGGATGTCCCTGGATGTCCCTGGATGTCCCTGGATGTCCCTGGATGTCCCTGGATGTCCCTAGGTGTCCCTAGATGTCCCTAGATGTCCCTGGATGTCCCTGCATGTCCCTGGATGTCCCTGGATGTCCCTAGATGTCCCTGGATGTCCCTGTTTGTCCCTGGTTCCTCTGTTTTGCCCTGTGATACCATGTCCCTGTGTGTCCTTGATGTCCGCGATTTTCCTTGTTTGTCCAGGGATATGTCCCCAGGTTTGTCCCCGGATATGTTGATGTCCTGTTCTTCTTCATGGCCTTTTTTGTTGGTGCGCTTGTCTTCCGTAATTGGTTGACAAACCCGTTGTCTGGTCGTGTTGTGTGGCCCCTAAGAAACATCATCTTGTCGGCGTGCAAGATTTAGCCATCGAGGGCAACACCCGCCGACATCAGCGGCCCAAGAAGGCCCCAAATTGAGGACATGTGAATGCTTGCGCGGCCCACATCGGCGGACATCGCTTCACGCTCAGCCAGAAATTCGTGGACATCAGGCCCGACAGGGCCCGCAACCGCGGACATCTGCTTGTTTTTGCAAAAACAACCCATGAAAACTCAAAGAATTCATTCCTCGATTTTAAAGGGAATTTTGCTGTCGGGACCAAAAGCGTGGACATCATACATACGTTGCAGCCCGAAAGTGCGGACATCGTACCCCGTTGAGGCGCCAGAACGCGGACATCGCGCATCGCCGCGCCAAAATGAGGATACCATGGATACCGCGGAGGCGTTCCCTCCTGGATTCTCTTATGTTCTTCTCCCGTCGAAATGACATTCCATACATATAGTCGAATTGCACGGTATCTTTGGATACATTAAATATACTTCTCTGTAGTTCTGGAATTCCTCCTTCACCAACCAAAAACACAACATTGTCCATCGTAACCTAGAGATTCTTTCAACAAACCTGATATTCACGTGATATCATGGTATTATTATTGACCAGCCATCTATCAACGAAACAACTGTGCTTTCTCATTGTCTCCCAAACACATTCATGAATTCCACAGCAAGTCCCTGTGCACGTGCATTGCCTGACTTCTCGTGGATGCATTTGAAAACGGTGCAACCCCACACCCTAAGGTTACTTATATGTGGTGTTTTGCACACGCGCATGCCGCAACGCACGTGGTCATGACACATGCGCGTGTCATACCTCACTTCTCTGTAGCGGCATGTTGCGTTTATGTGTGCGACGCAGCAATGAAGACACGCATGTTCAGCAACACTAAAGTTTCCCTTGCAATACCAGCATGCAGGGTATTAGTGCAGGCGTCTAACCAGATGAATCTTGTAGGTTCCATGCTTGCTTCCTCCCCATTTAGTGCGGGAGCATTTTGTGGCGAATGTTGTGTCGCATTTGGTTTGGCACGAAGGGCACACACATGCACATTAACTGTCTCTATGCGTTGCATTGGCCTTCGGCATGAGCCGCCTAGTGTAGGTACATGTGTAACTAAGAGAGCTTTCCTGTGTCGTACCCGGTGGCTAATGTATTGAATATTCGATGCGTTTTCATTTTTCATTCAATGGTTTCTGCCCGATGCACCCTCCAACATCTCGTACCAGATGCTGCGTTTTCTCGAACAGCGACAGGCCGCCGAATTCTAGACCAAACCCCAATGCGAATTCGGCCCCTATGCGCGTCGTCTGTCATCATCGTCGTCGTCATCGTCGTCGTCTTCAATGTCGTCGGCCTTTCCGTTCTGTCGGCCGTCTGTCCACCGCGCTCTGTCGCGCGCGGCGCCTGTATCTGAAACGATGGCCAACCGAGGAGAAGGGAAAGTAAGAAGGGGAAACAGAAGGATAGGAGAGGGAGCAAGAGAAAAGGAAAGAAGGAAGGGAAAACCGACGAACAGGAGAAAGCGACGGACGCCGAGAATAATGTGGATGATTGTGCTTCAGGAAAGGAAGTGGAGGAACACCTGGATAAAGAAATTTAGAAACAATAAAGGAACGAGGAGAAGGCAGCTTTAGATTGATCCCTGGCCATATTTTGTATCCTTCCCTTCCGTTCCTCTTCGTGAAGATCGAACATGTTCCTCATGTTATCCTTGCCCATCGTTGCCTTCAACCACATCCAACCATCGGCAACTTCACAAAGGACAAACAGGGACACCAGGGACATCTAAGGA